TTGGTGGTTTGCTTGCAGACGTTTCATTACCTGACTAGGTAACATCTGATGTTGTTACCTAGTCGGGTAATAAAACGTCTGCCAGCAAACCACCAAGTTCAGGGAGCGCCAATGCCTCCTCATTGCAACCCTGAGCGACAGATATTCTCTTCTATTGGGACATTTAAAACGGAGGGTTTCAGCTGCAGATTCAGGAACTGCGCCTGGCTGAGGAGCGCCTTCAAAACTGAGCGCTGGGCGGCAGCGGCCCACGGCTGTCTCCGCGGCTCAGGACAAGTCCCTGCAGGACGGCTGAGAAGCCCTGCCTCTCGGCCCTGCCTCCCTCAGCCTCATCCCTCAGGTGTCTCCCTCCCTCCCTCAGCCTCATCCCTCAGGTGTCTGCCTTGTTCCTCTCTCAGTCGCTCTCTCGCTCCTCCACCAGCCCAGGAAGAAACTGCTTCAAAGAAGCTGGCAGGGTGGCTTTTCCTGTTGGCGCAGCTCCTCCGAAGCACCAGTTCACCCCCACCCCGCTGCCCGCTGTTCAATCCAGTGCTCCGTTCTGCCTGCCTGCCTGCCTGCCTTCGTTTCTGGTTGTTTCGGAGCAGCTTCGGCTGAGTAAAAGAGGCGAATAGTTATTATTCTCAGCCGGAGCTGCTCCGAAACAACCAGAAACGAAGGCAGGCAGGCAGAACGGAGCACTGGATTGAACCTGGATTGATTGGCGGCAGGGTGGGGGTGAACAAGCGCTTCGGGGGAACTGTGCCGACAGGAAAAGCCACCCTGCCGGCTTCTTTGAAGCAGTTTCTTCCTGGGCTGGTGGAGGAGCGAGAGAGCGACTGAGAGAGGAACGAGGCGGGAGGAAACCGAAGCCACTGAGCCAGAGAGTAGGACAGGCTTTGGTTGCTTCCTCCCTCCCCTTCTTTCATTTGTGTCCTTGATCCCTGATCCCAGCAGCATTCACCGAAGGCGAAGAAAGCCGCCATTTTTATTTTATTTTTTATTTTTATTTTCTTTGCGGCCCGGTGCAAAGTGATCCACGGACCAGTACCAGTCCGCGGCCCGGTGGTTGGGGACCCCTGATCTAAAGGAAACAATTGGCAAAATAACATTCTCAGGGGTTTCTTAATCTTTAAGAACAGACTCTGCTAGGCAAACACAATACGGTAGTCAAAAACATATTATTATGAAAAAAGAAAAGCAGCCTATATAATGGGGAAAGGGTAACATACTTTGCTGTTATATTCCAAGCAGAGTTTTACTGAGAATACTAACACGTATATGTTTTGTTTTCCTTTATTTTCTCATTTTCTACTTGTTAAGTGACTGAGGTTTTATAAATGTTTCAAAACAGGTGCCTCTAAAGTTATGGAAGCACACTCAAAGCATAATGTTTGATTAATTTAAGCAGTCATGTCTTTCTCAGATTTAAGTCATTTGACTGTTTTGGAGATTTTTCAATCTCAGAGTTTGAAAACAGATTAGATCAGATCTGAATAATCAGTATAATCTAAGACTATGTAATGGTAAAAAAAAGTCATAACTATCATATAAACTTGACCCAAAAATAAATTGAAATAAATCTTCAACTTTATATTTGAAGCATATTCTAGCTCAAATCTCAAAGTATCCCCCATTAAGACTCATTATTTGGTCAGATTATATAAAACAATCTATTCTCTTTTTTTAAAAAACCATTGACTTAAAAGTATCATATCGTTAATTATCCATTCACTCATACTGGTTAATTATCTATTCAACAAATCTGTTAGATACGTTTAGTAGAAATGCTATAACTCTCCAACCTAGCCAGTGTTTATAATCTGAAAGGCTTAATGAAACACTTACATTAAACCCTGAAAAATCGATGGCAATGGCTGTTTCTCCACTGTTGCCTTGTTTGGGTGCAATTTGATTCAAAAGATGATAATAAGCTTTTGAGTCCTGAAATGATCAATGCAAATTTTAAACAAAAATATTCATGTACACTTATCCAATGCTGAAAGGAGAATGACTGGAATTGTTATACTAATATGCCTGTTTTCATACTCTGTATAGGTTCTGCAGTTAGTGGATTTTCATATTTCTTGGAGATATCCCCTTTGAAAAAAACACAAAGTATAGGACTATACTCGGGATGTATCTACAGATTAATAGCAATAAAAAGGTTCCTGGATAAATAGTGCTAAAAAGATACAGGAGTTGATCTTGACGGAGAGTAACATCAAGTGTTACAGACTCACAATAGAGGCTTTGCAGAACCAGGAGTCCTCAGCTTATAGTCAGTTTATAGATGAACTGAATCTAATTGTTTTCCTCTGGATCCAAAGTTCTAAACAATTCCAGTTGCAGCTGTTCCACTTCTCTGGATACCAGAGTTTTTGGGAATTGTGCTACATACAAGTTTAATAATATAATAAAAAAAGTAAGGAAATCTGTTTTTGTTATTTATTTTATGTTTTAAGAATTAATTTGCTTCCATGGTTTTTGATTCTAGAAATGATATTTTTCTTATTCTTCTATAAGTTTTATGGCATTTTGAGACCATGGAATTTCTTATCTATCAGTCAAGTGTTATATACTCCATTCCAATAGCAAAACACCTAGCCTCCTTCTAAAGACTATTCTCACTTCCAAAGCCATTTATTAGCATAACTTTATTTATTTAAGAAATAAATAAGTTGGCGATGTATGGCAATAGCATGTTAGGTTCAAAAAGTATTTCAGTCGTATCAGTGGTGGGCTGCCGGTGCTTCGGACCAGTTCTAGCGAACCAGTAGTTCTGACCATCAGCTGGCCCCACCCACCCGTGCCCGCCCTATCCTGTCCTATATTTCTGTCTTTCTCAGCTCAGCTGATTCGTGCAGCACAGTGGATTTCCACATCTCAGTTGTTCTACTTACCAGAGCTGTATTAGAAGGTAAGCTGTTGAGGTTAAAATTGGTGTTTTTTGAGTGCTGCGCATGCACGCAAAACACACATTAGGCATGTGCACTTGCCGAACTGGTTGTTAAACCAGTTGCAGCCCACCGCTGAATAGTATACTTTTTATTAAAATGCAACAGAATAATTTATGAAAACGTTGATTAGTTCTATTTTTAAAATTCAGATTGTAATAATTGCTTTATTTACTACAAGTTTAAGTAAGATATACCTTAATGTCTTGACCAAAGTTGCTTATTTTCTTCCACCCAGCGTTATTCAAATGGTAGTTAACCCACCGTAGCAGAAGTTCTTCTGGGGACAATTTCATTAATTGCTCCAATCCTTCTTCATCACTTAGTAAACCAATAAGAGCTAGAAAAGATTTTCAATAAATATTATTCTGGAACTTCAAAAGAAAAACAAATAAAAGAATATGCTTAAGCTAAAGAATTCATTATTCCCGATGAATGTTTAAAATTCTCACCTTCATTTCTGGAAATCTCTATATCAGAAAAAAGCCCAACTTTAATAATTTGCCATAATAATCCTAACACCAAATGTGGCTTTCCATCTATTAGATCTTGTGATCCAATGTTAACTACTGTACAGCCAATAGCTGATGCAGAATTTAGTGCTAGATCTAGATTTTCCTAAAAGCAAAGCCAAAAAAAAAAAAAAACATGTTAGAAGGAAACAGATGTAGAATGAACAGACTAAGAAAGTATTTCATAAATCAGCTGACATTTGAACTGTTTTAAGCATATTTGAAACACTGAAAGTCAGCATTTAATAAATTATTCTATAATATTAAGTATTTTCTTTTGAAAGAGCTGATAGAGCATAGGCCCTTTTTAATACAGCTATTAATTTATGTTTATTCTTTTAGTAACTTAACAATATAAATGTTACCATCATAACTCAGAATATGCCTGTGCTACGATTTTCTAAAAATTGCTTTATAACCGTGATATCTAAATAGAATACTATAACAAAAATGGAGATCTGAAAACTAAATAATCAGAGATGAATACACATGCACACACACGGGTTTTGAATGGAAAAAAGGATTATGCCAAAACAAAAAGACATTGGGGGAAAATGTAAAATTGAAGGTACTTAATGGGCATAACAAAACTGGTACTAGAACAACTTGAAATGGCATGTTCTACAAACATGTGTTACAAATATATTAGTATGTGCAAAATTACATGCTACAAATGAAAATTTGAGTTGCTAGCTTTGCAAAAAAAAAAAAAAAAATCCAGAAAACTTCCTGGAAACTGTTTTATTCAAAGGCTCACATATGTTTATGGATTTACTTCAGCAATACAGTATATATAGAAAATTTAAATAACTAGAAATGTTACAATTCATTGCCTTGTTTTTATATGCATTTTTCCATGTATAACTAGAAGCAAAAACAACCCCCAAAATATAAAAATAAAATATAAGAAATATAAGAAAACTGAAACAAAGATAAAGAAAATACAAAAAAATATTGAAATAAAAATATATGTTCAATACTCATATATAATTGAAATCCAGGTCTCAAACAACAAATTAAACTTTGGCTAACCAAAGTGATATTGATCACACTTTATGCATTAAAAAGCTATTTCCTATGCTGAGAGTATTTTCTATTAAGGATCATTTTCCCCCCACTGGAGTAAAGCCATCCAGAGTTGCCTCAGATTGTGCGATGGGAGGACATATAAATTTAAAAATAAAATAATAAACAATCTTCTTAGCTATACCCCATGAATGATAAATCTTGTTTCGTAAGGTTCAGAGTCTGGAGACTATTATACAAAAATGTCTTCAATCTATATCAAATCCAAAAGATGAAATCTGGGTCACTTCAAAAATATGGAAATTGGAATCTACCTATTTTGGGGCTGCCCAATAAACCTGAAAGAGAATCCTTTGTTGAATTAATTGCATTTTGAGATTATATAACACTAATGTGACATTTTTAAAATTCTAACACATTGGCATGTTTTTCTATATTTATCTTGATACAACTTTTCAGTTCTAGATTTAAATTAATTATATATTCAGAAACTTCAAAAAACTTTTTCTAATAATTTTAATAATTTAGAATTTCAGATTTTGATCATACATCACGCTCAAATTGTAAAATTAAAATACATTTTAATTAGATATATTGCAACTCAGAAGTTTTAAGCAAACCAAATTATTTTAAATCTTTTAAAATACTAGTATCAATCCCATTACTGGTTTGGGCAAGAAATTTTCAAGTTTGTATTATCTTGTAATGTAATTTTACATGAGAGCTATGATCAAATTTCAATGTCCTTCCCAAACATCATCCATATATGTCTTACAACTTACAATTTGTCTTGTTCATCTTCATAATTGCCATTCAACTAATCAATTTTGGCTATTGCTTACTTACTGATCTAGTGAATGCAGTAAGCTTCTTCTTATTAATTGCTCTTTCATCAATCGTATCTGGCTGAGATAAATTAATCATTTTGCTTGAAAATAAAGAAAAATAATTGTTAGCTTAATGTGAAAGAAATTCACTGTAAAGTTATTTAAAAGATTGGCAGATTAAAGTTCTCCATAAATGTGAACATTAAATAGAAAAACATTTCCTAGACTTACAAAATATGGAAACTTATGGAATGAGTATTTTGTTTCTAGAAGTAGAATAACATCAGTACCATACATAGCTGTAATTTATTTAGTTTTTTCATATAGTAATATTCAACTGTTATTAACTGAAGAATCTGCACTTAGTCAGCCACAGACAGAAGAAGAGACATAAGCAATGTATATGCATGTAACATACATTTTCTCCCTGCTAGGATGAAAAATGTCAGAACTGTCTTTGATTTAACATGGAGAATGAAGACAATAGCTCTTAGACAATAGTACCATTTATTTTATTTATTTATTTATTTATTTATTTGATTTGCCAATTGTTTACAAGATAATAAGTATAAATGTATACATAGTTGTGAATACATGAAATGGTTACATATAAGAAAAATAAAAGAATAAGAGAAACAATAGGACAGGGACGGTAGGCACGTTGGTGCGCTTATGCACGCCCCCTAGAAACAGTTAGCTTAACTCCAATTTTCAAATGCGTATACTTGGATAATTTCTGGGATCAATAGAGATTAGTATTAAAGCATTCTATATACAACCAAGGCTACTGTTAAAAATAGCAATTCATTCTTATTCAGGGTGGATATGAATGATAGGGGAGGTAAAGGAGAATGGACATTTCCTTTGTAAAACTCCTCAATGAGACTGCTAATAGCAATGCAGAAGCAGTAATTGTGTAGAGAATGACTGGAGAATTTGCCTAATGACAACAATTGGACATGAAAGAACTGCCTTCATAAGTCAGGACAGTCACATGATATTGCACTTTATGACTGTGCTGCTTAGCAGCAGAGTTCCCAATGCCAATTCATAAGTGAGGACTATCTATATATGATTTAATTTTTATTGATTTCAATGAAAGAATTCAAAATTTGCTGAATTTTCCAACTAAAATAAATAGCACTTATGGTATCAAAATTAAGCGATGGTAATGCCTTAAAAACTCATCAGCCAGTATTTTGGTAAACATTTTTTTAAAAAACTGAACATACCAAAGAAGGATACCATCAGCAAGTGAATTAAAAAGGCTATCATCTGATGGATTCATAGGGAGACAATATTTGCAGTCAGGGTCATCTTTAAGAGCTTTATTTATCCAGTTAACAAACGCGACCTTGTCTTCTTCTGGAAAATAAAAGAGAAAAATATATTTTAAGAGCAGTCTAGCAATACATATGCCACATATTCAACCTTGCTCTGTTAGCACACTGTAAAAGAAACACTAATAGGGAATACTGTTATGTATCTTTTATTTCAAGCAGGCCATCCTGTAATTATAATAATGATATCCATAAATTCCTGCATAAATGTTAATCCTGAAATTACATTCACTAAAACATTCCCTTGAACTTTACAATTTTTTTACCTGAGTAAGAATGCTGAGTTCCCTCACTGGAAATGGATGATGTTCCTCCAATTGCAGTAATCCCCAGTTTTTTGTTTATGGATTTTCGAAATGATTTGCTAATATCTTTACTTTTCAGTTCCTGAATAACCTGGAAAAAAACAACATGCATAAAATGAAATTTAATGTGGAGAAAAGCAAGGTTTTGCACCTAGGCAGGAAAAATTAAGCAAAAATGAGAGGGACCTTGGAGTCCTAGTGGATGATCATTTATGAGCCAGCAGTGTATGGCAGCAGCTAAATAAGCCAATACAACCCTTGTGTTCTATAAACAGAGGCAAAGAGTCAAAATCACATGAAGTATTTATAAATCCTTAGTAAGACTACACCTGGAATACTGCATCCAGTTTTGATCACCATATTACAAAAAAGATATTGAGACTTTGGAAAAAGTGCATAGAAGACCCACTGAGATAATTAAAGGCCTGAAGATGAAAACATGAAGATTGGTTTCAGGAATTGGGTATGGATAGTCTAAAGAAAAGGACTAGGGGTGACATGTGATGCCATGTCTTTACAGGACTTCAAAAGCACAATAAAAGTGACAATCTGTCTTTTGTCACTTGTATATGCTTTCCATGTTGCTGTTAATCAATCAAGTATTTGCATAGGTGTAATGAGTAGTGAATGCAAACATTTATTGCATTATTCTCAGAACTCACATCTATTGCTACTTATCACCTAGAACAGGTTCTTTAAAATTGTGACATTTTCTGATGTTATGGTGCATGCATAATGCTTAAAACATAATTCTCCAAAACATGGACTGTCCTAGCAAATCCAGGATGTTTAATAATCAAGTATAAGTGGAAATAGGAAGTACAGCCTGAATGATCCAAGGCCCAGAGAAAATATATTAATACCTTGGTCACATGTTTTTGGGCAGTCAAAAGTCAGGCCATTCTAAACATGGGGGGAGGGGGAGGGGAGGCGTACTTAATCCATTCTTGACAATTCACTTATTCATGTTAAAGATAAACTTCATCAGAAATGTGTAAAAGACTTCAGCTATTTCAGAAAAATAGCCTCATGTACTTCATGTTTTAAATGCAATTTTAAAAAAAAAGAATGATGTATTGTATGCATTGAGTTCCTTTCAAGAACAGTAGAACTAGAGCAACAAGATGCAAAATTGTCTCAGGTAATTATGATTAGTTTTAATCTTGTAGAATTATAGAAGACATTACTGTTAAGTTTGAGGCATGGGTTTAATGAACGGAGACCAGACTGTAAACCGTGAACTTCAGCTCTTTATTCACAAGCATAACAGAGACAAAAACCCCTGGATAGCGGCCACCCTTTTATAGAGTGAACTGCTATCCGGATGACCAATGGATGTTGTTATAGGGTTTGAACCTCGTCCAATGGGACTTGGCCCGCCAACAGCCAGTCAGATTGTTCGGAATTAACCAATCCTAACTTGCCATTATATGGGCCAATAGGAAGTGCAGGATTACGATCCTGCTATGCAAATGAATCTTTATTAATTACATTTCTTTAGTTCACAACACCCCTCCCCCTGGGTTCCGTTTGATGGCCGTGGTGACGTAATCACGCAGGTATGCAGGTCGTTTTACCTGCCTAGTTGATTTTCGCTGTTCCACCGGTTTTTGTTTAAAGTTCGGTTCCGGTGGAACGCAAGGCTCGTTTTCGCCCGGGGTTGATTCCGCGACACTATCAGAGTCCCTTAAGTCCATTCTTTGATCGGGCAGGCATGTTTCCGCTATGGTGTTCCTCTGCGGGGAGGATGCCCCCGATCCCGGACCTTCTTCAGGTGGCGCGAGCACTTGGTTTAGTGGCCGTCTGTCCTCGATTACGTCGTCGTCTATGCGGTCTTCGTCCCCCTCGGTATTCCCTCCCCCCTGAGTTTGGAAGTCCGGGGGGTCGCGGATATTTGGTTGTAAACGAGATCGAAGTTGGTCTATGTGGCGTTTCCATATCTTGCCGTCTGTCGTCTTAAGGCAGTAAGATCTAGGGCCAGTGAGGTAGACTACAGTGGCTGGAACCCACAACGGTTCGCCGGAAAGGTTTTTTGTGTAGACCAAGTCGCCTACCTTGAATTGGCGATACGTTCCGCTGGATCCACAAGGTTTCTCTGGCGAATAAGACGGGTGTAATCGGTCGAGGTGGGAGCGAAGCTTCCGCCCCATTAAAAGTTCAGTTGGAGTCTTGTTGGTGATACTGTGGGGGGTAATGTGTTGTAGTAAGAGTATTTTGTTCAATCTAGCGTCGATGTCTCCCGGGTCCATTTTTTGTAGTGTCTTTTTAAGGAATTGGACCATCCGTTCCGCTCTACCATTTGCCGCAGGATGAGCTGGCGAAGTTAAAGCATGGCGGATGCCCCGGTCCGCCAAGTATTGTTCGAAGGTGAGAGCAGTAAACTGGGGTCCGTTGTCGGAAACTAGAATGTCCGGGAAACCGTGTGTTGCGAATAATCTATCTAGTTTTTTAATAACGGAGTCAGTAGTCGTGCTTTTCATCTTGTGGATTTCGAGCCAGTTAGAGTAAGCATCCACGGTGAGGAGAAAAGTGTGTCCTTTTGTAGGTCCCGCGAAATCAATATGGATGCGGGACCACGGGCCTCGAGGCATTTCCCATTCAGTGGGGGTTGCTCTCGGTGGGGCGTTGCTGACCTCTTGGCAGTTTCTACACGTGGTTACCCAGGCTTCAATATGTTTATCGATGCCTGGCCACCACGCGTAGCTTCGAGCAAGAGCCTTCATGCGGACGATGCCCGGATGTCCTTCGTGCAGGGTTTGCAACACGAGTCGCTGTAGTCTCTCTGGCACGACGACTCTATCTCCCCATAGGATGCAGCCCTTCTGGGAGAATAGTTCCGTTTGCCGGTGCTTGAACGGCGCAAAAGTGGCGGGGGTTTCTTCGACTGGCCACCCGCGTTCGACCCAACTGAGAACTTTTGCGAGGATAGCGTCCCGTTTTGTGTTGGCGGCGATATCCCTTGCCGTTAGTGGCGGCGAGTTGAGGGTTTCAATTTGCAGCGTATTGAGGGTCGGAGCTGGGTCGCTGACGGTTTCCGGAAGTGGGGAACGGCTCAAAGCGTCAGCGTGGGGAATGGCTTTCCCTGGGCGATGCTGCAGTACGTAGTTGTAGGCTGCTAGGAATTCTGACCAGCGAGTCATTCTAGGTGATAATATGTGCGGCGTTGGTTTATCACCTGCTAAAATGCCAAGTAAAGGCTTGTGGTCTGTGACTAGAGTAAAGGGCCGCCCGTAAACATATTCGTGAAATCGTTTCATGGCTGATACAAGAGCAAGAGCCTCTTTGTCAAGTTGGCTATAGTTTCGTTCAGCCTTTGATAACGTGCGGGAAAAGTAAGCAATAGGAGCCTCATTCCCGTTTGGTAACACGTGGCTCAAAATGGCTCCAACCCCAAACGGTGACGCGTCGGACGTAATGTTTAATGGCAAAGTCTCGTTGTATTGCATTAGCACAGCGTCGGAAGTTAATAAGTCTTTCACCTTTCTGAAAGAGTGTTCTTCTCTGTGACCCCAAACCCAAATAGCTTTCTTGTCGAGAAGTCGATGTAAGGGTTCGGCTACTGTTGCCTTGTGAGGCAAAAAGATGTTGTAAAAATTGATGAGTCCCAAGAAAGCCTGGAGATCAGCCTTACTTTTAGGTCTTGGGGCGTTTTTAATTGCTTTGAGTTTGGTCTCGGTGGGGTGAATCACTTGTTTATCGAGGAGATACCCAAGAAACTCCACCCGCTCAGTACACAGTTGACACTTATTTTTTTTTACCTTTAGGCCGGCGTCTTTGAATCTATGTAGAACTAGTTTGAGACGCCGTTCGAGCTCTTCTTTATTAGGGGCAGCAATTAAAACGTCATCAAAATACGGCACAACCCCTTTTATGCCTTGCAAAAGTCTCTCTATTAGACTCTGAAATATCCCGGGGGCTACACTCACTCTGAACTGGAGTCTGTTGCATTTAAAGGCACCTCGGTGGGTAACGATAGTCTGTGCCTCTGCGGTTTCCGCATCAATGGGTAGTTGTTGATACGCTTGCGATAAGTCTAACTTTGCGAAGATCTTCCCGCCGCCCAGGGAGTGGAGAAGATGTTGAACCACCGGCACCGGATAAGCACTCTGTTGGAGTGCGTGGTTCAGAGTGGCACGGTAGTCTCCACAAATTCTGATCGACCCATGCAGTTTGATGGGGGTTACGATTGGGGTTTCCCAACGGGCATGGTCAATAGGCTCCAACACCCCTTGGGCTATTAACTTATCAAGTTGCTCGTCAATCTTGGGTTTAAGGGCGAACGGCACCCGACGAGGCTTAAGGCGGATAGGGGGCTATTTCTGGATTGAGGCTAAATGATATAGGGGTCCCCTTGTACTTGCCTAAGTTGTCCGAAAACACGTCGTGGAATTCCTGGACGATGCTCTCTTCCCAATCGTCACTTCCGGCCTGGTGAATGCCGGCCACCTCGATCCCGAGTGGGGCGAACCATTGTAGGCCTAGTAAGCTGGGTCGATCACCATCGACGACAGTTAATGGGAGCAATACGACACGATCCTTAAAAGATACTTGGACTTGACTCACTCCTACGACTGGGATCGTGTTCCCCTGGTAATCTCTGAGGATGATTTTCTGTGTCCTGAGGTCTTGACGACGGATGGCGGGGATCAGCTGTTTAAGAGTCTTCCAGGAAACCATCGAGAGGGACGATCCGGAGTCGACTTCCATTAGGCAAGGTTTGTTCTCGATGGCCACTTCCACTTGGATTTTTTGTTTGTCTAATGACGAAGCGTGGCCGATAATAATAGTTTGGTGTGTCTCTTCTCGTCGTGCTGGAAAAACGGATGTTTTGCTGCTGTAGGCATGGTTGTTCCATTGGTTATTCAAATGATCCCGATTTGCAGGGAGGTTCCCTGTGGTTTGGCGGAGGTTGTTCTCCTTTCTGTTTGTGTTGGATTCCCTCTTGCTTCTGCAGACCCATGCGATGTGGCCTCTTTTCCCACAGGAACGGCAGATTGTGTCGAGGAATTTGCAACCGGATCGTGGGTGATTTCCCCCACAGCCCACACATGGGCGCTGAAGTTTTAGCGTTTGTTGATCTCGTTCGGCCCGAAGTCTGTTAACCTCTTCTTCATCACTCTCGGATTGGGACTCGAGGTCCTCATGGTGCGCTGTTGCTGAGTGTCTTTCTAGTTGAGGCGAGGCTTCACGGGCGAATTGACGGATTGGTGCGTTGGTGTGGCGCATTCGAGCGGCCGACTTCTTGGTTGCCTCTGCTGCAGTAGTGTCAGCAATGGCATCTGCAAGATTGATGTCCCCCTTTGCCATGATCTTGCTCTGTACTGTGTGGTCATCTAATCCCAGAACTATGCGGTCTCGCATGGCTTCTTCTAGGTCTGAAAAACCACAGAGGCCTCCCAGGTTTCTAAGGTCGGCGATGAAGTCTGCAATACTTTCACCCTTCCGCTGGTCCCGTTGATAAAATTCGTGTCTCCGGACCAACGTTGGTATGGTGGGGGCATAGTGAGCCCGTAGGATAGGCTCGAGGTTGTCCCAATCCATTGCTGTCACCTCAGCCAGTTTCGCGAGCGCCTTCGCCATTCTAAAAACGGCTGGTCCACAATGGGTCAAGAACACCACCCGCTTCTTTCCGGCTGTTGCGTCTTTCAAATTGTTGGTTTCTAGAAACATTTGAAACCGATCCATATACGACTCCCAGTCTTCCTTTTCCGGGTCAAAAGGAGCGGGTGGTATAGCGCCACCTGACATCCTGCCGATGTAGATGCGCTCTCAGCCACGTGCTTCGGTTGGTGCTCTGTAGGGTTTAGTCAGCTCTATTGTCTCCGGATCCCATCCTCGTCGCCAGTGTTAAGTTTGAGGCATGGGTTTAATGAACAGAGACCAGACTGTAAACCGTGAACTTCAGCTCTTTATTCACAAGCATAACAGAGACAAAAACCCCCGGATAGCGGCCGCCCTTTTATAGAGTGAACTGCTATCCGGATGACCAATGGATGTTGTTATAGGGTTTGAACCTCGTCCAATGGGACTCGGCCCGCCAACAGCCAGTCAGATTGTTCGGAATTAACCAATCCTAACTTGCCATTATATGGGCCAATAGGAAGTGCAGGATTACGATCCTGCTATGCAAATGAATCTTTATTAATTACATTTCTTTAGTTCACAACAATTACTATAATAATTTATTTAGGTAAAAGAAAAATGTTTTGTCCAAAAACATTTAGAAGAGTTTCATTTCAGAAACCAAACCGAGGAAAAATGTTTAAGGTAGGCGACGCTGGAATACAGCGGCTTCTTTATCTTGGTCACACAGTGGAGGGCAGCCAAAAGGCAAGGATGTTTTGAAATTGCACCCAGAGGTGCCTATCACTATTCTATCACTTTCCTGGGCAAAATTATAGAGGATTTGATCATTGTTGCACTAAATTTAACAGCCATCATTTCACAGCCTATAATTGATGTACAGACTATGTATAATTCCTGTAGTAAATGACATGAAGATCCATGTGCTACCCTGAAATCAACAACTGAAAGGACAAGAGCACATTTTGTAAGGTATAGCTACTAAAAAGGTCTTACCCATTTTCAAAACTGATTTTTTTAAACTATTATTTTGAGAGCTATTGTTCAAAAGCTGTCATTATACTGCTAAAGTTGGCTGACTAATAAATTTAAATAAATAATGTGAAAGTTACAAAACAGGATATCATATATTTGAGCTTGGTGGTGCTGTGATTAGAATGCAGTATTGCAGGCTAACTGTGCCCACTGCCAGGACCGGCTCAAGGTTGATTCAGCCTTCCATCCTTCTGAGGTTGGTGAAATGAAGTCCCAGATTGTTGGCAGCAATATATTAACATTGTAAACCACTCAGAGAGTGCTGTA